TAGTTGCTGGTAATGCAGAAGCCGCGCACGCCTGAAAAAAGGCGCGAAGCAACAGAAACCCCGCCTCCTGCGCTCGCTAGCTGGGCTCTGCTCTAGGAAGGAGGCAATGGCAAACCACTTCCAAAACACCATGCCTTGAAAACTGCGGGGACTCGTCCAGGCAGTCGCCACAGAATCGGTAATGATTGAGTGTGGATAAAAAAAAAAAAACCATTATCAAAGAGACCAATTCAACATTCCCATAGCTTCGTTTATCTCAGATTCAGGGAAATCAGCACAGCGATGACAGTCTCCAACTCCCCAGTTCCTCTCCATGATTTCAGAAAGCTGTTAAACACATCTGGGACAGAGGATGCAGGATCTCGTAGCACAGGCATCAAGAAGTAGTGCGGAAATCCCCCATACCAACCCTCACAGGGAACCATGTGGTAGGGAAAGGGCCAAAATCATTTAAGGATGTCAAAAAATGCTTCAGAATTTAAAAAATAAATAAATAAACAAGACAACCAGTTATATCACTATTTTTTATCAATCTCCATAAAACAGTGATTCTTTGGGGTATCCTATAATGGCATATAAAGTCTATATTTTCTTATAAAAGAATTAATTCCATTTAGGATCTCAAAACTGTGTTTGACTTCAAGCACCAATCAAGCATTTTAGTTCAGAAACAATATACGAAGAAGCTAGGATTCTGTCTCTAAACAGAATATGCTTGTGTGCCTAATAAAAGGATTTTATTTTGGGCAGGATAATTTTCAAATCCATGATGAAACCAGTACTCAAATTTCCCAAAAGTTAACCAAAAGCTTTATTTGCAGCTGTAATAACTGACTTCATTCAATCTACCTTCTCTGTTTTACCATCTCCCCCCTGTTTAACAATTGCATAAACAAGGTAAGAAATAGGGTAAACAAGATAAACAGCAGGAATACAGTAATTCAAGATCTTTCTGTATTTCCAATTTCAGCAGAAAGCATCCCCAAAGCTTTTTATTCTTGGTGGCACTGATCAGTCATGAAAACCACCTGAATCTACAAAGGATACTTCAGTCTCTACTAAAGTATTGTAATAGTCACCAAGCAAGGAAAAAGCTAATATCTCTACTTGTGTTAGCTTTTCTAAAGTAATCAAGAAAAGGAAAGAAATGCAATAAGTTAATTAAATAGCTATTATTAGAAATTAAGCTGAATTTTTATTGGAATTTTATTGGAATTTCCAGTGGTGAAATTTCTCTGGAGCATTTTCAGAAATCCATGATATATCTCCTTTCATATTTCAGCTTCTAGAGTTTCTTATAAATTACACACACACAATTACCTGTTGGACACTGAGCCAAGGCTGTCGTTATTCCATAAAGACGAGTGCGCTTGTAGGGTTGAAAGTTATCGTTCTCTTCTAAGATTGTGCGATCCACTGCTACCACAGCATCTCTATGGCACGCAGAACAATAACATAGATAAATAAAATATGAGATAATGGGGAAAGAAAGAGAGAGAGAGAGAAAAAAAATTGACTTAAACAAACCAAAACTTGTTATCACAACTATAAATTGCAAACCACCAAATTGTGGAAAATCAATTTTAGATTTTTTTTCAAAATAAAACATTGCACAAGCCTCTCAATTCTTTTTCTTAAAAAGAAATTCTCCCAATCTCATGAAAGCAAATACAAAAAGTGTGATACAATCACTCTGACCATGTCATAGTGCGATCCTCCACAGTTCTTGAACACAAAATCATCATCATCATCATCATCATCATCATCATCATCATCATCATCCTAGGCTCTTGGTTAGATCCCAAATCATTAGGAAATACCCAGTCTAAAGACTGTGATATTAATTAGATTAATAGATGAAGATGATGGACAATGATGATTCTAAAAGTGCACTCCCTTACTGCAAAAAATATTGCTGCTGTTCCTTTAAATCTTAAGCCTCCCACATTCCATAGCTAAAATTCAGAAGCTGCAAACTGAATAGGCAGAAGAATGTCTTCAAAATTCCAGTTTCCTCTTTCACTCACTAGAGCAAACAAAACAGGAGTATTAGTTTCCCATTCTTCCATGTTCAAAGAAAACAGTTAATACATACTCTCTCTCTGCTTAAAAAATCTATTCGTGTTATATGCCTGCAGGGGATACGGGAGTTTTTTAGGAGAAGTATACAGATTTGCCCAAACAATATTTGAAGTTTTTATCAATTATAGGAGGCTGCAGGGCTGGGGGGGGGGGGGGGGAGGGAAGTGGGAGTAAAGCACAAGCTTTTTTAAAAACAATACGAAACAAACAAAAACCAGGTAATCATACCTTCTCCAGTCAGTGTAAAATAAATTCTTTCCATAGCTTGTAATGCTAAAAGGATACTGAATTCCTTCAAGGACCTTTCGACGATTATGCTGGTTGGGATCCATACATTCTACCCTTTTGGTCCCTGTGTATGAAAAAATAAGCTGGACTTTGCAAGAAACAGATGACCCTTTTCTTTGTAAGGTTTTAGTTTAGTGTTAATATATTCTCAACTAATATAAGATGACCTCTCCACATATAATTCATATGTAATTATTTGGGGATTTTTTTTCCTTTTGGATAAATACAATATGTATGAAATTTTGGTTTTCTTTTCATATTCATATGAATTTTCATAATTCATACCATAATTATGGTATTCTTTTCTTTTCTTCTATGCTCACCCATGTCAAGCCCTGCCCACATCTTTTCCAGACAACTGTTTTGAAAACAGTAAGACAGGTTTTGCTTGCTGCTGCCAAACTGTTTTGTGCAGGACACCCAAAGACCAGTGCAGATAAACGAGCAGTTCTTAACGTTTGCCTTCATTGCACCTTTCTGTATGCTTGAATGGTCCTGGGGCTAGACATTACATTCAGATCATGGGTCAATTTAACTTGAGACTTTTTATAATGACTGGCCGCCCTGAAAATTTCAGACAGCAGACTCTCACAGCTCTGCCTTCAGATATGAGGAATTAAAACTGGACTATGATGAGAGGTTAGGAGTGACCTCTAAACTAAGGCTATTTTCGAACAGTAAAGAAAAAGAAAAGTGGCAATAATTGTTGAGTACTCTTGGTACTGAGAAGTAACCCCATCACAGCTACAGGTCCACCTTGCATTTTTAGCATCCAGTTTGTTCATTTAGTTTGTCAGTTTCGTTCATTCTACAGCAGTGTTTCTCCATCTTGGCAACTTTAAGATGTGTGGACCTTGTTGGCTGGGGAATTCTGGGAGCTGAAGTCCACACATCTTAAAGCTGCCAAGGTTGAGAAATACTGGTCTACAGTGTAAGACTTACCTGCATCTACCCAGCACAACAACGAAGAATAGGTGTCAAATGTCAGCCCATTTGGCAGTCCCAAATCATCCTTAACGAGAATTCTTCTATTTGTACCATCCATATATGAAGCTTCAATTTTAGGAGCTTCTCTGTTCCAGTCTGTCCAGTAAAGATTTCTGGGTGTATTGATAAAGACACATATACAAATAAGTAAATATAACTGTGCATTAGGAGGGTGTTATGAAAAGAAATATCACATTGGTATTGTTTCTAATAAAATTACATAGATATTTCCATTAAGTCACCAGGAGTCAAGCTTGACTGGAGGGAGATTTTACCTTTACACAGGATTTCCCTCTCAATTTTGTTTTGTTAACCATCCTATCACTGATATTATAAAATTCAAGATTCACCTGCTGTTTACATAGTACAAGGGACCTCCAATCAGTCAATCACTTTTTAATCTAAGGCATTGTATAAACTCAAGTCAGGTAGTTAGTTTATGGTTTACCACCTCTGAATTTATGATTCAGAGGCTGAATTTGAATGGGGTTGGGTAAAATTTATAGTTCAGCATACCATAAGGAAATGGCTATTATGTCAGCATACTGAGTGAATGGGCCATCAGGTTAACCCATCATGTGGTTTTCTTTATTTGCACACAGCATATTATATTAACATAGCAATTGTGTGATGTTAATTCAGGTTCACAGTTTAGTAAGTTGCATGATCTCAGCCAGTATGTTGTGCAAACCCAGGAAATCGGGGTAAATAAGTAAGCCACAGCCCAGTGAACTACAAGTAAGCTTTTCATGTGAATACAGCTTTTCTTCCCAAAGAAAAAGGGTCAGACTTCTAAAAAGTCACTTGTCTACCAAAACACATGGAAGGTTTCTGCAGCACCTAGAAAATTCTAGGCACTGTATATCAAGCAGTGAAAATATTATACAGTTTCTTATTATTTACTAATCTAGCATACTGCTTCCATTCTATATCTTCCCTCAATTTTGTAGCTTAATCCTCTTCTTTCGTGCCAGGATTAGGGTTAGGATTGTAGCACGCTATGGGACTAATGACTGTTGTTGCCCTGTTTTCAATCTAGGTTTCATTTAAGTTCATAAAAACTGAATACTTCACTAGTGTGCTGTACAGGTAGGTCGTGATTAGTGTGAGTTTGAATACTGTAGTGCGATATTCGATTTAGTGCAATTTATAAATTTATACCAGGTCATGTTTAACTCAAGGCAAAGTTCAGTTAGTGTGAGGCTAGCGCACATGCAGTTCAGGCTAGTGCATGCACCGTTGCCACTGGGGTTTAGACACTAATCATCGCAAATGCAAAACAGAGAAAAGAAAGGTTCTGTTCGAGGAAAGCTCAAAAAAGAAGAGGCTCATTTTGAAGAACTACAGCAGAATACAGGAGACAGCAAATACGCCAGCAAATACACTTTGGATATGGTTTATCCTCTTTTACTGTTATACAGTATTTCATTAATAAAGGTATAAAAATTCATGTTTAAAAATTTCAATGCCCTGTTTCCATCAAGCTGGAACCAATTACACCAATTTCCATAGAAACATCCCTTTGACTAGCGTGAATCTGAATAATGTGACCATTTCATGGGATTCATTAACTGCGCTAATAATTGAGACCTCCTAAGGACATTCCACAGTTTGACAGTCGACACAACCAATTGCAATTGCAACCAATGCTTCTTCCAATAGCTGTCTGAATTTTTTGGTTAAATTCCTTCCTGAAATAATTGTCTTTCTTGGCTTTGGCTTTTTTTCTCTTGGCAATCTCTACCATCTGTTTGGACATCCAGTTTGGTTTCTTGTTTTTCTTAGTCTTTGTCAGTTATTTTTCACATTCATCCTTGACAACATCTTCAATTTCATTACACAGTTTCTCTGGTTCTCTATGAATGAGGTTCAGGACTTTAAAGCAATTCCTGATTCTCTCCTTGAAAATGGTGCATATATGGTCAAGATCATATGGTGGAAACTGGCTTTGTTCTTCCACTCTAGCTTGACTTGGAAGTTGCACATGAGCAGTTTGTGATCTGTTCCACAGTCAGCCCCTGGTCATGCCTTTGCGGCTATAATTGAGCTCTTCCACTTCCTTGTACCATTAATATAATCAACTTGATGTCTGTGTGCTTCACACAGTATGTTCCATGCAACAGTGCTCCAATTTGACCCAGTTGTACCTGATGTGAGATACCCTGCCACCTTTTCTATCTTGGGTTACTCCTGGATTCAAGGTTAAGACCATCTGCGTAGAAAACATGACTTTACACTAGCAACTTCAGCTAGTGTTCAATATTAGTAGGAAATCCCCAAGCTGCTCCCTAAACTGAAATAAATTCAATACTTAGAGGCTGGGTTCACACAACATACTAAACTAAGCCATAATGGATTGGGCAATTTATAGTCAAGGTGCTATGAAATCCTACCATTGGCTTAGTATGTTGTATGATTCATGCCATCATATTAAGATACAATACAGTTTATTTGGGTATAACATGTTATGTTGTGTTTTGTTAACCCAGGTTTAGGGTTTAGCATATTGTGAGAACCATCTAAAGAGGCTCTAGGAGGAAGATATTGAGAAAAAAAATTCACAAAGAACAACAACTATAGCATCCAGATGAGTACATAATTATATACATGCAAACTTTTGGAATGTGCCTTAGAATTTTTACAGTACAAAATCAAACATATTCACTTCTTTCTTATTATGACTCATCATTCAGGAAAATATAACTATTTAAACTTGCAAATACTTACCAGCATTATGATAAAACATCAACAAAATTTTGAGTTTATGCTAATATTTTCCAAATATATTTTTATTTTGTTTCAACAAAAGAATATAGCAACTGGATGGAGTGGTTTGGACTTATAGTTTCAGCATGTGAAAAGAAGATAAGTCAGTGTTTCTCAACCCTGGCAACTTTAAGATATGCTGGCTGGGGAATTCTGGGAGTTGAAGTCCACAAATCTTAAAGTTACTAAGGTTGAGAAACACTAATATAGGTATTGAAATAGCATGGGCTGTGGAAAAAAAAAGTTTTAAAAATAACAGGATATTTATACATCCCTACCCTCTCACAGGATCTGCAACAATGGCTCGAGGATTCACCAGCTCAGTGTCAAACAATATACGTCGATGGCTGCCATCTACTTTGGCTACCTCTATTCTGTCAAGCTGAGAATCAGTCCAGAAGATAGTACGGCCAAGGTGATCCAGTGCTATTCCTTCAGGACTTTCCAAATCTTGAAGAAAGAAATATAAAGACAATACATCAGTCGGAGGGCATGGCCAACATTCCAAGCCATTCCTGAGTACTGAAGAAGTTTCATTTGTTCATGAGATCTCCCTTCCACGTTTGGTATCAAACTCCTGAAGAGGGCTCAAGGCATCTAATGTTGCAATGGTAATACCTCAAACATCAGAAATGCTGGGGTTTCTAAGAGTGGGCAAAGCGCTGAGACTTAGTGCTGTTGTATTGATAATGTTGCTTTGAGGAAGGATCAACGATGAAACCTCATCATTCTCTTTAACTTAGCTGGCTGATTTTGAGCCAATTTCCTGTGGAGTGGAATACCTCATCTTGTTCCAGTCAGATTCAAGGAAAATATATGTCAGTTGTGCATAGGATTCACCTATCGCTAAAAATCAGTCATAACTCTTTAGTGGTAAGGCAAAAGCAGAATACTATGCTTAAAGGTACCAAACTACACAGGAGAAATTATGAAACAAAAATATCTGTTCTGCTGAACGGAAAGTAAAAAGGGGAAACTAGCAAGTGGATTGGTGGATTTAAACTGTTATTTCAGTTTAAAAGTCTGTAGTCATGGATTTACAACAGATGTTGGACCAATCGCTTATTACTATGTGCTAATCTTCAAACCAATGACTATCAGTAGTATAAATGCAATGCTATAAAGAATAGATTTCTTTTGTTAATTGACTGATACAATTTTGTTCTGCATTTCCTCAGGAGCTCACCGTGGTGAAGAATACAATTCCTCCCTCACAACATTCCTGTTCAGTAGGTTGGGCTGAAAGAATGTCATTGGCCCAACATCACCAAGTGAGCTCCATGGTTCAGTGAGGCTTTAAATGTAGGTCTCCCCATCCCTAAATTATAGTGGTATAAGATATAGTCGTATAGTATAAGTCACTATACCCATTAGTACTCATCATTCCTGCCTATGTTGTGACTTTTAACATCTACCTGAAAACAGATACCGTAGGTTCATTCCATATAGAGACCCGCAAGGAAAGATCGGCAGTGAGTGCCTGGATCATTATCCAAATATAACAAACTCTGTGTTCTGTTTTTTGGTCAAACAAACAAAATAGGGTTCACTAAGAATTGGGATGAACTTATACTTAAATATGTCAATAAAAGATACATATTTTTCTGATAATGGTACAGTACTATGGTTTTAAACTACTGACTGTAAAACAAACAGAAAAGCACCTATTTTGAGAAGTAATCAACTTTTTAAAAATCAACTGGTTTTTAGTTATCAGGAGAAAATTTAGAGCTCCAAGTAGCTAATTGTTTTCGAAAACAGATTTCAGTTTAGAAGAACTCTGAAAAATGTATGTGCGTAGTTTCTCTTGGACAGTGACCAGGTCCAAAGCAACAGGAAATAACAGATGATAACCTTCTATTCTAGCTCCAAGGGTTGTTGATCACAAACACAGATTGAGGATAGAAATTTTTTAAAAAGTCCAGTATTCATCCAACTGTGCTATTTTTTTTTCTGCTCAGAAAGAGTTTTGTTCTGTTCGAGACAGACTGGCCACAATTTAGGCCAAGACTGAGAGCACATTCCGTTTTAGATGAATGTTATACAACTTTTCTTTTAAAAAGTATACCGCAGTCTGTATGCTAAAAATGTTAACATGACCCTTCATATATGAACCACACAACATTAAGACTGTTTCTCAGTCTCACTCCATACTCCATTTCTTATTTTAGAGGAGAAAAAGAATATTGAACTTTTTCTTCTTTTCTTTGTCAGGTTTTCAAACTCTACTTCCTGTGGTGAAAACTTTATTTCTAGTTGACTAAACAGGCCAGTAGAAGCCACTAAATTATACGACTCTGCCCACATAGTGACTGAAGTCAACATGACCTTTTGTGAAACACTTATTATGTAACCTTTCAAATGCTGTTATAAATTTGGTTGCTGCTCAATCATACAATCACTTTTGATTTTTTGGGACCTAACCCTTTTAAAAAGTGTCTGGATTACAAATTTTAAGTGTTTGCATTAGGAGTATATTAGGGGAGAGAATTTCTTCCATGGCTGTCTTTATTTTTTGGGTTACTCACCAGAGATTTAACATATCCTAGAATGATGTTTATTTCCAGACCAGTTGATAATCAGTCAGGCATAAACTCAGCCCATGTCTGAATGCAATGAAATTTACAATATAGTAACTGTTTCCCATTTGATTGCAATGTTAGGATTATGCAAGAATGGAAAGGAATTGAAGTGTCAGACCACGAGAAAGCGTTTCTCCCCATGGAGTAGCTTCTGCAGCTGTAGAACTTGGGCAGATGATCAAAAGGGCCACAGGCTATTCAACTGTCATGGAATTTAGGTTTTAATGGGATTTCACATGTGCAGAGCCTCTTCCATTCATTAGGCCTTAGAAGGAGTTAATAGTCAAAACATGCAGACTTTCCTGTGAAAACTCTTTCACAGAGGCAGCTGTGCTATTGCTCTGTGGCCTTGTGAAATATGAGCATCCAGGAGAGCTTCATCCAAGTTGACACTTCACTTACATGCATTTTAAAAATTCTTCTAAATAGTCAGTAGGTTAATTTTTGTCACTGAGATTGAAACCTACTTATTGATACTAGGCAGTAAATCTCACTGAACTCAGGGATACTTACTTCTGAGTTACACATAAAAGGACCACATTGTACAAATTACAGATAATAAAATAAGCCCCTGTAGCAATATACTTGAGTTATACGATCAAAATGACATGCAAAATATTATAACAAAATTAGATACACATCACTTTAATTATAATTATATTTTCTTCAGCTGTCTAATACTAAAATGAGTAATACTGAAAACTATCAAAAGGTAAAAAATGCAATACATATTACATAGCATTTTACTCCAAAAGATTTTTTAAAAATAGCAAATCCAATTAGTATTCAGACTGGCAATTTCCACATGAATGAAGTTATCCCAACATTCATCTACTCAATCAAGATATTTGATCTCAGGCTCCCAGGATAAAAACAGGCTGGTTTACTAACATGCCCATTCAAATCTGTACAAGTTTCCATATTTCTTGGCTATACCTAATAAATATAAAATAACAGCCAATAAATTATCTGAACAGAGTGGCATTAGTACCATTCTACACTAAAGTATCTTTGCTAAGTTTCCTGGGTCTGGTTGCTTGTATGAGAACTTAGATAATAGTTTTGTTTTTATATTTAAGAAGTTTAGCTTGTTTTCCTTTTTCCTTTCTTCTCCCTCCTCCCTACACTTTCCATGTGTCTGTTATATTTAAGAAGTTTAGCTTGTTTTCCTTTTTCCTTTCTTCTCCCTCCTCCCTACACTTTCCATGTGTCTGTTATATTTAAGAAGTTTAGCTTGTTTTCCTTTTTCCTTTCTTCTCCCTCCTCCCTACACTTTCCATGTGTCTGTTTCTCTTCCAATACTTTGTCTTAAGAGCAATAGAAGAGATAGCCATAAGACTCTAAGTGAATCTAGAGATTGGAAATGATTATGTAGGTGCTTTTCTGCAACTGGAAGGCTTTTTGATCCAGCAGAATGTGGAGCAAATTTTTAGCAAAAAGTACTGCAGTTCTCTGCCCTCTGCACTAATTTCAAACTAACTCCACAGGGTTGAAGGTCTTTTCAAAACATTATGGAGGTTGTGCTGAGGACTTCAGGGTTAACTGCAGAAAATCATCTTCCATCTTTTTTCCACTTGTGGAACCCATACTTGGACCCAAGAGTCTACCAGCAGAGCAATATCCATTGGATTCAATGTGACATGGTGAGGAAGGAAATCTATAATCCCTACCTGTCTTTATGATGGATGCTGGCTCTCCTCCACCAAGGCTTGCTCTACTGATGGATGGGCTGCTGATATCTGTCCAATAAACCATCTTCTCCAAGCAGTCATAAGCAACCCCAATAACAACTTTATCCTGCATTTGAGACAAACTATTACAAACTATTATATCACACTTCTAATGCTAAAAAAATGGCTAAGCATTCAACAGCTTGAAAATTCTACAGTGAATAGTAAAAGACTAGTGAGAAAATTCAAAGGTAAAGTCTTACATCCAGGTTCTTATCAAGTCTGATTCTGTTTAACATTTGGAAATCAGTCCAGGTGGGTTAGGTACTGCCTTCTGGCTTAAGGTGATACCCAGGATCAGAAACAAACTGCATTGCAGCAATAGGAAAGGAGTAGATTCTCACCTAAAGCTTAGGACCTCTGTAGTTCCAGCTAAAGATAACCTGAAGTAATAGCACAGAAAGACTGTTCCATCTAATAATTATTTCAGTCTTCCCCAACTTGATACTTGCAAATTCACACTGTGGGCCCTGAGGGACCGTCTCACCCCCATCACATCAACCCGTCCCACCCGGTCAGGAAGAGAGGGCATGTTACGGACCCCATCAGTGAGAGAATGTTGGCTGGTGGGGCCCAGGAGGAGAGCCGTCCCTGCCATTGTCCCCACCCTCTGGAATATTCTCCCCCAGAGGTGTGGCAGGCCCCTACTCTCCCGGCTTTCCAGAAAGGATTGAAGACCTGGTTCTGCCAGCTTGCGTGGGGAAATAAGAGTTTTAATCAATCCTGGGGGTGGCTGGCGCCCTGATGACGCTCCCCAAGCTACTCGCCAATCACTATAAATCCTTGGAATATATTTATTATTTATTCAGGACTACTTTTATATTGTATTTTTAATTAATTTTATCTTCTCTGTAAACCACCCAGAGTCATTTTTTAATGAGATGGGCGGTGACAAATTTGATATGTAAATACAACATTTTTAAAAAATAATTATTTCACTTTTCCTCAACTTGATATTTGCAAATTCACACTGTGCTATATTTATTCCACTCCCATTTTTATAATCCAAGCCTATAGCTTGCATCCAAAGGAAACAAAATGTCACCGAACCCTATAGAGGCATAATATTCAGCATTTAAAAAAAAAATTATGGGAAGGAGTGTGATTCATTTCCATGCAGAAGTTCCAAATTTCTGCTCTGTGCAGTTAAAAAGGATCTCACTGGAACTATGAAAAATCTCATGATGAGGCCTTAGGATCTGCCATCTGCCAGAATAGCTAATGCATGTTTTGGGATGTCAATAGTTTGACCCTATACGTGACCCTAGGACACGTTCAGATATTTTAGCACCACATACCAATTATAGATAGATTAGGCTTCTGGAAGAATCCAAATATACTACACAGAATCATGAGAGAATAAGTATTCTAATTAACATTAAAATGAGTAATTTGAGCATAAAAATCCATTTCCCTCAATCTTTGTGGTTGAAGAAATTCCACTCTATCCATTAGTTGCCCCCCACTGATGCTACTGTCTTTCTATTGCTCTTTTCTTGTCTTCTCCATATCCAAATTTGTCATTCTAACACCGTTTGCCATTTAACCAACACTATGATCAGCTACATTACCTTGCAGTATTTAATTAGTCTCTCAACTATGGAAAAAAGACGTGCACAAATGTGACATGAATGTATAATTACAGTACTGAGAATTAACGAGAGTTAAAGAATGCAGCTTCTGTTGAACATACAATATCAATATTTCTACAGTATAATCTTTTGAAAAAATGCAATGCTAAGACATAAAGCTACCCATTCAGAAGATCTGAACTATTTTAAAAGATTAAGGCCATACTACATAGCAAGAAACTCAGAGCAATTGCAGAAGAAAATGGGAGAGTGGGAAAACACTTATTCGGGTTGACACAGAGAAGAGACTGAAAAGAAACATATGCCAGAATATAAACACTGGCCATAGTACAGGAAATTATCAAGACAGATTATCACATTTACAGCAGGAAAAGTACATCAAGAAAGGGAAGATAAAGAGAATACTCAGGGAGAAAGTTTACATGCCACATAAAGTTTTATACCTATCTACTATGAGCAGTTAAATTCCAAGAGTCTAAACACTAGAAAGTTTATAGGAGGCCCTGACTTGCTTAGGAAGCCAATAAAAATTAGTTCCACATAGAGTAAGTTTGTTTGCAGCAGTTTTGCATGATTACCTCAGAAGCAAGGAAATGTATAAAATACAATGCTACAGGGACATATTTTTCTTTGAGATCCCCTGCCTTTAACCACAGATTACAAATAAAGATACAATGCTACAATTTTTTTTTTTTTTAAAGGCCAGGGTTCAAAAAATGTACCAGACATTCGACGAAGACTAACCATTCAGTATGCAATTGCTCCTAATATTGGGTTTGAAAGACATTTTTCAAGCCATTAATTCAACATATTGAAATGCATCATGTTCACGGAATACTTACTGGCACATACAGCAAAGCTTTTGCATCTGATTTCTTCATAACATTCCCCTCCAGAGGGACATGGTCAATCTTCCCACTCTGAGCAATGAGTAAGTGGCTTCCTGGAGGCAGGGAAATTGTACCTGGTTTTACGGAGGGTCCAATTGTAACAGGAGGAGCAACTGTGCCCAGACCTTATTGACCAATAATATAAAACACATATTATCAGGTTACTTAAACATGAGACTTGCCATACCTACAAGGCCAGGTAGTCTTACTGATACAAGCCTAGCAATTTAGCACATTTAGCTAAAACACATGCATAAGAGATTGCAGTTTGGTGCATTGTTATTTAAGAGTTAGGTCCAATGACCTTAGCTGGCTTGAACTCAGATTGCACTGCATGTCTTCTCCACAAAAAGTGAAGAGATTGTAAATGCAAAACTTAATCATGTTTACACCATTGTATGCATGCATACATACAAACATGCACATACAAACCTGTAGGACATAAATGTTCATTGCATGCTATACTTTTTGCTTAAGAAATGGGGCCATTACAAAAACAAAGGTGGCCAATCCACATGCTCATGTACAATACTGAATACTCATTTTATTTCTCTTACAGTTGATAATCCTCTTTTATTTATTTATACAACAATAAAGTTTAGGTCCAAAGTCACATTCCTGGTACCCCAATCATGCATTGCTAACAGTATCAAAATCACTGAATAATCCAGAAAAACCATGAAGGATGCTCTCCCCCAACCAATGTCCATCCATAGACATCCACGGGGAAACACAGGGAATCAAGTGACAAAATGTGCATTGCAACATCTCAGTATAAACCACATGACTTACATACTTGCGTCTGACATCAGGATGCAAATCCAAAGGATCAGAGTTTGCTATGTGATGTCACAATACATGTTTCATCATTGTGGTTTGTACTAGAGGCCTATGCTTTCACTTTCTGTTACCAGCTAGGGTGAAATGCAGTGTTGACTGGAAAAGGTTGTATCCAAAATCATTCCTGCTGGCAGTATTTGTATTTTCTACTGCAGCTGCTAGTATTGGAAATACAAACCTAATTATAAAATAAAACCAGATAATTCAAATCACATTTACTGTATAAATACACCTTTCACTTAATCACAGAAACTTTGATATACAAATAATTGCAAATACCTTGGGCTTATAAATAACTATCTTCTTAATTACCTTGAGAGTAAGAATAGGCAAAATCTAAATGAAGACAAACTTGCACTAACTTAGTGGCTTAGAAGCAACTTACATGGAGGTTGGATTCCTGGGCCACTTCTGGTACCATCCACCTCATTACCATCTCTGTCCACACACCAGCAGTAGCCAGTGCTAGGGTGGCACTGGGTTGGCAAATAATTCCCATAGATATCACACTGAGGAATAAACTGGCCAATTGGCCTAGGTCCTCTTGGACCCAACACCAGAATTTGTTCCTGTTCTCTTTGGCATTTAGTCTTCTCTATTTCTGTAATAAAAAGAAAAAATATTATTTAACTTCATTTCTATTAGATCAGTTACCTGATCCCATATTCCACCCATCATAAACCCTATGAGTCAGCTGGAGTCCATACAGATGACATCAGAAATGATGATTCAGTCTACTTGCTGTAAGTTTAGAATTGCAATGAGAAGATACAAACTTTTTTCCTTACCTGTAAATGATGGGAGATACTGTGAGATATTGGGAATTTCCCTATCAGGAAAGGTTGCAATATTTGGGGCTTTTTAGTCTAGAAATGAGGCAAATGAGAGGGGACATAACTGAGGTGTACAAAATTAATGCATGGTATGGATAACATGGACAAGGAGAAGCTATTTTCACCATCCCAAAATACTAGAACCAAAGGTCACCCAATGAAATTTAATTGAAATTGAAGGGTAGAGAATTTTTTTTTTCTTTACACAACATGTAATTAACCTTTAGGATTCACTACACAAGATCTGGTGCCAGCTACCAGCTTGGCTGGCTTCAAAAAAAGGGTTGGACCAATTCATGGAAGTCATGGGGATCAACGGCTATCAGCTTTGACGATAGCGTGACTGCCTCTGAAGGCCTTCTTCTGGGAGACTAGTGGGCTTTCTCGTGCAGTTACTTGGCCGCTGTAAGAACAGACTGCTGGACTAGATGGGCCAGGGGTCCAATCCAGCAGGGCACTGCTTAAGTTCTTATGTTCTTATTCTTTCTCTTTTTCTGGAGGGATAGTGTTTCTAAGTAGCTACCATTGTTTTCTTTTGGGGTTTTTGGCAGCAGAATCAAGCCCAATGGCCAATTTTCCCACAGCTATAAATAACATATTTAAATAGATTCAAAGCAGAAAACCAGTCTGGGAAATGTTTAAGTCAAAGAAATGAAAGGGATACTCAAGGAAGATAGGGATCGAGCAAGACTGTTCCTATGTTCTTAACCATATGTCCCCTAAAGGTATTTAGATTAAAGACCCAGCTGCATATAGGCTGCATATTCTCAAATGTAGCCCAACACATCAAGTTGGGGAAGATTGGTGTAAGATGAGTCATTCTTCTTTTGATAGCTCTGGGAAACAACATGTCATTTTAAAGTGGTAGTCTTAGGAGAATTTCAAAGAAGAGTTGATTAATACTTCAATATTAGGATGTTATTCTTGTAATCCATTTAGTTTTGCTTCTGTTACTAAGCATTATCAATATGATGCAAAACTTTACTGGCAATTCATTTCCCATATACTCCCATATATATTCCCATAACACACTTTAACAGTTTTGGTGAATGATGCTTAGTAGTCACAGCCCCTAGCCAGAATGTCTGTGTTTGTTTCTATACAGTAAATAAAGCCTATGAATAGAAAGGGGTGACAGAGTCTGGACATCTGTTTCTTTTTTAAATGAAACAATGGAGTGTGAGGATATAATGAATTACAGACACTCTTAGTAGCTGTTAGAGCACTACTCTTATATCAGTACCTCTTTTACTAGCAAGCCGGATATGTCCTGAAGATATGCAAAATTCTGCAGCTTCTTTAAAAAAATGAGTTTGTTAAGTAAAAACATTTTCTGCATTTGCAGAATCAAACACTTTTGCTTAAATTTAAAGATGCAGAAAGCTGTTTTAGAATGTTACAGCTATAATACTGTTGAAAAACTCTAAAAAATAGGTAGCAGAAGTGTAGAATATGTCCTTGTAGCTCTATCCTAGCAGCTACATCTACAGCTAAGATAGCATTATACAGGTAGTCCCCGGATTAAGAACGCCTGGTTTATAGACAACCCATAGTTAAGAATGGAGCCTATTGTAGCAAAACTCAAGTTAAATACCCAGTGCTTCGAGTTAAATACACAATGGTTTGAGTTCATTACACAATACTACTTATACAGTATTATACAATAATACTGTTCTGGCTCACATACAAATTTGACTTAAGGACAGACCTTGGGAATGGTTCTTAAACTAGGGACTACATGTACAAGGAAAGCAGAGTTGGATGGCTCATCTTTTCACTTCCTTAACTACAAGGAACAGTGTGCTGGAACAGAGAAGAACATATCTGAAGAAAGAGCAAAAAGCAGCATCAAATAATTATACCTTAATCAAAGCTTGATTAATTAATTAAACATAATCGCTGCACATCTATTATTCAAAGGAACTAGCCTTTAGTGTTTGCCACTCTAATAATGTTTTAAACATCATTCTGAAAGTTTACCTCCTGATGCACATTGGAAGCCATCTCCATGATAACCTGCTTTGCACTGGCAGCTGAAGGACCCTGGGGTGTTATAGCAAACAGCATCTGGATGGCAGTGGCTAGGCTGACATTCATCTACATCTATTTTTGTAAGAGTAGAGAAGAATGTTATGTTTTACAGTAAGATATACTGTATATGTATGGAAGAGCCTTAAATCCTCTACAAACGATTTGAGTCTACAACCCCATCCCCTTTTCTTCGGGGTGCAATGAATGTGTCTAGCGAGTCAAATAACAACTATCTGTTTGGTAATTTATGAACAATTATTCAATTATTTATGCCCACATAGACTGTGAGTATGTCAAATGGTTCCAAGATAGTTCTAACAAGCTAGCCAACCAAACGATCAATTAAAGTGCTTTAGAGAGAAAAAAACAACAGTCCAAAATTGGAATATACCAGTATCCCATACATTTCTTGTACAAACCCATAAATAAATAAATAGTCAATGATAAATCCAAATTATATATTAATATTAATATTAGTAGTATAGTATTAGAAAAAAAATTCCTCCCATCTACATAAAAGGTGCATTTCTAGTAATAATTCCTTTATGATATCCATAATCAGATTTCTTTTATAAATGTTAATACAGAAATAAACTATTGCAATATGCATGCAAATCCTGAGAATTCTAGATGGAATCTGTGAACATCTGATAAGTGCATACTGTTAATAATTGTTTATTTCTGTCTTTTCTGAATTTCTGAATATAGATTTGTAATTAATAACATTGTCATACAAATTATCAATTCCACAACCATGATCACATTTGCTTTCAAAATATTAATATGAAAAAATAACTTTAAAAAATATGAAATGTAGAACACTAGTCTCCAGCAATGAAAAAGCTTCTTTTTGGCAGTTTCACCCCCCAAAAAGTTATTGTCTTCAACACCTAAAAATTATTATGATAAAAGGAACTGAACACAATTACCATATAACAGAATTGCATAAAGACCAAAAAGGACAAGGAGAAAGGGGAAATAATGCTATCTCTCACCCACGCAGGAACGTCCATCTCCAGAAAACCCTGGAATACACGCACAGATGTAAGAAGATCCACCAGAGTAGATGCAGCGGGCACGTTGAGGGATATCACATGTGTGTGTACCCGCTAAACAATGATTCACAACACGATCAACAGCTGTAAATTAGAAATGCATATATAAAGAAGATTAAAATTCCAGGTTTTTTTTCAACAAAAGACATTTTGAGGAGATGAAACTGAGAAAAAAATGAGTAGAGTTTTAAAAAGTAATCTTTGCATGTTGGAATTTCAAAGTACTGTTGACTTTAAACCTTAGAACATTACAAAATTTGGGAGAAATCATGAAAAATATTTTGTAGCCAAATCATTACTTAGAAGAATACATATGATACTAGCTAGCTCTAACGTCATCAGAACTCTGTATTTATTTATTTTCTTGTGTTTATCAGATGTATTTTGGTTTCAGCCCTATCAGTCTCGCAGTTTACATTTTGATGCTAGAGTCATCTTCTGGTTTCACTGGTTTAGCTCCTTCTTTTACCAAACCACTTGCCACTTTTCCTGGACTCTGCTTTTTCTCAAGCACAGATTCTCACGTTCATGGTAGCTTTCTCAATCTTTTTAGCTCATTATGTTATACAAATGTATACTTGATGTTTCACTTCTCTGTGATTCAACACAGCTAATACATTTTGCTGTCTGAAGCAGTAGTCAAGATGGCAATCTCCAGACATAGAGAAAAAGAAGAAGCATGGCAAGTTTTGCTTCTCCCATACTTCTACCCTGCTGACTTGTCATTAACAAGGACTGGAGACATCTGAGAATCCAACATTTATGCTTCATAATGTGTTATGAAGACTTTTTCATCTTACTATCTAAATTATCTCTCCCACCCTTCTTTTCCCATGATTTCTAGGGATGAATTTTCACACAGAATTCTATTCCTTCTTGAAAACGAATGGGGATATAGGAGAATGTCAACTTTATCTTACATAATAAAGCCTGTATCTTGAACAAAGAGAAAAAAATAGCAAATATGATAGTCATTGGGATATACAGTACTGTGCAAAAGTTTTAGGCAGGTGTGAAAAAATGCTGTAAAGTAAGAATGCTTTCAAAAATATATATTGTAATTGTTTATGTTTATCAATTTACAAAATGCAAAGTGAGCAAACAGAAGAAAAAAGTCATTGGGATATACAGTACTGTGCAAAAGTTTTAGGCAGGTGTGAAAAAATGCTGTAAAGTAAGAATGCTTTCAAAAATATATATTGTAATTGTTTATGTTTATCAATTTACAAAATGCAAAGTGAGCAAACAGAAGAAAAACCCAAATCAAATCAGTATTTGGTGTGACTACCCTTTGGGTTCAAAACAGCATCAATTCTTACACTTGCACACTTTGTACACTTGCACAAAGTCAGGGATCTTGTAGGATTAGAGTCAGGTGACTTTGTG